GGGGGAGGCCTGGCACCGAGCCGCCTCGTCCGGCCCGCGGCTCTGCGGCGCTCTCCCCTGGCAGCAGGAGGAGGAGGAGGAGGAGGCGGCTGTGTTTGCTTGACCGGCCTGTGCCCAGGTAGTCCGTGTGAGCTTTGCATGTAAAGCTTCGCTTACAGCTGGACTTCTGTAGCTTAGTTTTCAGGCTAATTTTTAGAGCCCCGTGGCAAAACATAAAAATCACTGGCTCAGACTTGTTTTCCTACCTTAGTTCTTCCTAATGTTGATTTTTTTTTCCTGAATGATAGGAACAGAATTGGTTTGCTAGAAGAAATATTATAACAGAGTTGTACTAAAAACAGTATAGCTTTTTCTGCTACTTTCTTTACGTTGTTCAGGACGTGACCATACTGAGTAGTCAGTATCTGCTGAAGTGGTGCTTGTTTAACATCTTGCTCGAATATCCGTATATCCAGACGTTGCCTGGCATATGAGCCTGAGAGCATGAGTGAATTCAAAACTACTTGGGTGATGGGAACGAGCTGTTTTTTAGTCCTTACGATTCCCTTCTGCAAACTGTAATACAATGACCCTGCTGCACCTCAGAGGCTCAGGTATGGCTGTAGAGTGTCAACAGCTCTCTGAAGAAGGTCCTCATATTTGACCCCTTAAATACATTGTGATCATCTTTGTTAGGTTGAAAAAGTCATTATGAGCTATTGAACTTTAAAATACCATTCAAACCGTGCTTGACTTTTGAGAAATGCATACTGTTGAATAAACAAACGTTCCTGTCTGAGCATGTGGAACCACTGCTGGCTGAATTGTTAGGGCAGCTTTTTGCAGAAGGCATTGTGAGGAAACTGTTCAGTTTATGCAACTGGTTCTATTTGATAACTCAGTCATTTAAAACTTAAAGAATGTGGAAACACCTATTTTAACTCCCGTTCTTTTCCCCCTTCCCGAAAATAAAACTGAAGAATGAGAGGATGAGCTCTGTAGTACATGGTGATTGAAGTAATCTGACTAAATATTAATCCTTTCTTTTGCCTAAAGACTTTGCTTTAAAATATATTTTAACATATTCTCTTTATTTACTTTTTAGTATTAACCCTGTTTGGTTTAAGCCATAAAGGAAAATTATTCTTTTTCTACTGAACATTTTTCTTTTTTAATCAAGTTTCAATTTCTGTCCAAATGTTGCATGGTACAAATCCTGAGCCCCAAAAAATCATCTAGCATCGTTTGTTATGTTTAAACATTTTTTTAAATGCAAATCATAATAAATACCTATTAAGCTGCACAATTCCATAAATACATTTTTATGAATCAGTATTCTCTCAGTAAGAAGAAATAGAAACTAAAACAAATTACAGTTAGAAAGAAGCAGCAGACGACTTTTTGGTATGGTTAAAATCACCGACTGAACAAGTGATGCTACTAGGAGCATCAAAAGAGCAGCCTAACTTGCGTTCTGATTGACAGTCTTGCCAAGTCTAAGGATGAATCAGTGTGTTTTTCTTCTGTAGATCACAGTTTCAAGACAAACAAATTAGCAGTACAAAGAGGTGCCAGGCAGTCCCTAGCTGTACCTGTCCTGTGAGCAAGTGTTCTTTAGTCCAGCTGCCACATTGTCACAACTGCTGCTGAATTCAGCTGAAAAAAGAACACTTCCAATCTTTCCTGATAATCTTCTCTTTTTCCAGCTAGTGTTTCTTCTATGGCAAGTCTGAGGACGTATCCAAGGGCTGTATTAGTATTGTGGACGTATATGCCCTTGTTTGTCTGCATTGCAATATCAAATTGCTTTGGGTATATGTTAGTATAAAATTCTACACTTTAAATTTACACAGGTAAAGAAGTGTCAGTAAATTCTGCTATGACAACATTTTTTTAGGTGAGATTAGGCTGCGTAAACCAGCACTGGCATGTCTGCGTGGCCACAGTCTACGCTGTGGCAATAGTATTGCTGTAGCTGTCAACAGTAGCAATTCCCTGATTTGTGTGTGTGATTTGCAGGAACTTTACGTATAGGACCTCTTCTGCCAGTTATTAGTAAGCCCACATCTGTGTGATAACGTATAGGCTTCCAGTGCCATCAACTGCTTAGCCCTTGAACAAGAAGTTACATTTCAAGAAAACACTGTATAAAGCTGAGCAAGTGCAAGTAAAAAATATTTTGGCATCTCAGTTCCATGTTTCAGGTAACTTTGTGGTGTGTCTTGGCACCCATTTAGGTCAGCTACAGGATTGTGACCATAATAATGATGAAACGTGGATTGTGTGAAAACTTGCACCAAGCTTAATGCATCCCTTCGATGTGATTAGGTGGAAAAAGTCAGCTTGCATGGACTTTGCCACAGGGAAAGTGCTGTGCTGATGTGAAAAACCAAAAGCATGTTGTTATCTTTCCTAAAGCATTCCAAACTGCACACAACCCACTTTTTTCATTCAACTGAACTGGTCCAACTGACTGGAATATGATACCATGCTCAACACTAATAAATGCTTTAAATTGTTTTCTTTTTAGGATGCAAGAGGACCCCCTGAAAAGGCAGCCACAGATCCCGGTGGTGAAAACAAGAAACCCAACAAATCCCAACAGCTCAAACAAGTTTTCAAAGAATATGGCGCTGTAGGGGTTTCATTTCATGTTGGAATTTCATTAATATCTCTAGGAATCTTCTACCTGGCTGTGTCAAGGTGTGGTTTGTACAGTTGTCTGTAGCCTCTAGATGATAGTTTAGCCAGGAAAAAAGTCTTACCATTGCCCATGCTTCTAGAAGGAGACGTGGGCATGAGGAGGCACGAGTAAAGATAGATGCACTTTTGTCTTTCCACACAATTTCATGGCCCATGGGTTGGCTGGGGAAGACAACAGAATAGAGACTGCACCAGAGTACTAGCCAGGCAAGAGAATTTATTCTTGTTCTGTGGAGATGCCTTTTGTTATCAAAGAGCAATATGGTCTGTAGAGATAGAGCTGCACGAAAGTGCTGGAGCTTACAGATGAACTTACTTTTCTGGGTGTGAACTCAGTTCAAACTACAGAAGCAACGACACTAAAACAAAGGCTTGGGTTAAAAAGGAAAATGCCAGATAACCTTACAGGGGACAAGCGGGAAATTATTTACATGGCTTCTGGTGGGGTTGCATTAGTTGGAGAAATGCCAGTGGAGCATGAGATACTTCCTCTGAGGAGACAAGCAGCAAATGTTTTGAGAAACTATGTTTTTGCCTAACTCTCGACCTCAGTAGGAATATGAGAACACTTGATTTCTGTCATTTATGCATCAGGGCTGATGGTGACATTGAAATTTTTCTCCTTCAGGTACTATTTAAATCTTAGTGACATAATATTGCACTGGCAAGTGAAGGGGGGAAAACTGCAGTAACAACTTATTTTGGAAAATTATCCTGAATATGGGGACCGTGACAAAAGGTGCTGTGTCTGTAGACAGTGAAAATGTTTATGGAGTTGGTGGATAACAGTTATTTAGTCCATAATACTTTCTTCACTTACTACATTTTAGATAGGATACTTAGCATTCAAACAGCTTTGTACTCTTCTGTTAAAAAAAAGTCTGAAGCTTAATAGCAGGTGTCTTGGTTTGGATCAAGCACGTTTAGCTGATAAGTTTTGTCAAGATACAAGGCTACATTTTATTTTAAATATTGAGAAGGTGAATTTCTAACATGAATTCACATATTTCTAAATTTTTAAAACTCAAAAGCAGAGGAATGGGGTTTTGTTGTTTTTTGAGGAAGCTGAGCATGTGTCTGAGTATTCTCCATGCATGCACTGCAACTATAGAGTTGCAAAACAAAGAAGATATTTCGCTTCAATTTAAGAAAAAAAAATACTCTTCTGGAAGTATTTTATATGCTGCTATTACGGAAGCAACTTGGGCAGTTACTGCTGAATGAATTTGTTGTGTTTGTTCCTTATGTACTTAGCACTTAGATTCAAACTGAATTTCCAGAGTTGGAAGAGTAGTTGCTTTCTGTTAAATTCCCTGAACAAATAACATTTTTAATTCATGTTCTTTAGTGTGTAATTTCAAAAATAAACTAAAAAGTCTTGTTTTTTTCTTCCACAGTGGTGTGGATATGACTGCAGTTCTCTTCAAACTTGGTTTCAGTGAATCATCGTTGCAATCTAAAATGGCTGCTGGTACAAGCACGTTTGTGTTGGCATATGCTGTTCACAAACTGTTTGCTCCAGTACGAATCAGCATTACTGTAGTTTCTGTGCCATTTATTGTCCGATACTTCCGGAAGATTGGGTTCTTCAAACCTCCTGCCCCAAAGTCATGATGATTTTTGTGTTGGTTTTTGCTGTTTTTAAATGCTCTATATCCATGTAGCTTTTCAGTTTACCAGATTTCTTTAGAAAACTTATTTGGATCATGTTAATGCTGACCTCCTCTTGCATTTCTTATTCATTCTTTCAGGTAAATGTGACACTGTGAAAAGTGCTGTCTTTATCCTCTTTCCGTTTTGCAGCCTCTTTATTAGAAAAACCTGCTAAAAAAATAGCATCAGGTGTTCCCTGCAAGTGGTAATACAAATGCTTGACAATGAGCAGTCTCTTTAGAACATATAGTTCTGTGTCTTTATAATCTAGCTTTCTGGGCCTAAACTTTTCTCTTGTTGAAACAGTTGCTGCAGTTCAGCACTTGTTTACTGTATAGTTGGGAATTAAAATAAGATTAAGTTTCTCCTTAATAGTTTGGTGGAACAAACAGTATCTTACTATATGAATATTTCTTTGGATAAATATAAATATTCGGATCCAAATTTGTACATGGGACTTTTGTTATAAAAGGCACATGCTATACCGCAGTCCTGCAATATTAACACACATGCCTAACTAACTTCAGTGGGAGTATGCATATGCTTAATTACTGCACAGTGATAATTGTTTTTGCCAGAATAGATGATGCAGTCCTCTGAAACTGTAGCTCACTTGTGGTGCTTCCATATTTTAAGATTTTGTTGTTTGAAAGTGTAAAGACTTCTTACTGAAGTCTATTTTCTTTTTTTTTAATATGCGTATGCTATAGACTCTGAAGAAATCTTGAGTTAAATCAGTGTAACCAGAATTACCTCCTATGTAAACATATTCCAAAGATCATCAAGTCAGAGGCAAGGTGTCTATGGGCTTTAATGTGCTGAGATCTGATTTTTGTACTGGGGACACATTTTTATATGAAAACTAATCATAGCAGCTTTCTGCTCCTGTGGCTGAAACTCAGACCTGCACTGAAGTCCAGATATTACAATTCATAACTTCTCAAACAATTCCTGTGCTTTTGTCTGACAGTGTGTTGAACGTACCGATCAGAGATGGTTTTCATTTTTTTTATTTTGACAGTATTCCTATCAGAGTGCAGTCGTGCATGCACGTATTCCCATACCATTTTTCAGTAATTTTTTTCAGATCTTTTTTTCTTCAGTTGACCTAAGGATTGGATCCCAAAACTGGGTAGTCTACTTCACGTTGTTTAGTAATGTGGCTTTCAGACAGGAATGTGCTTCTGCAAGATGACTGAAATCAGATTTAACAGTCTTTTGGATCTGCACCTCCCTCCAGCTCTGTTCTTTTTACCTTATCTTTGTCCATCTTCATGCTTCTGTCACCTACCCCAGAGTGGCTATGACACAGGTCTGTTCATACAGGAACCTGATTCAACTAAAACTTCAGAAAATTACCCTGGTGGTCAAAATAACTTTTTTTTTTTCTTTTTTGCTAGGTTCATAAATTGAGGGAGTCATGTAGTTAGGATGAGAGCTGCTTGTGGGAGGGAAGGAAAAGCAAGTCATTTCATTTTGTTATCAGCAAGCTATTAATTTAGCTTAGCCCTAATGTTAAACCCTAACTCCTCTTCCATTCAAAACTAGTCCAAACCATGGACAGGTTTGAAGGCTCTGCAAATCCTTAGGATCACAAGTGAAGAAACCTAGTTTGCACTCTAGGAAGACAAGTCATAGCCACATCTCTTGTTGGACTTCTGTTTTATTGCTATTGCTTGGTTTACCAGAGGTTTTTTCTATAGGACAAAAGGGTTAAAACTGAAGTGACATCTTGTTTCCTTTCTCTTTGTCCTTTGGGAAGCAAGCTGCTACCTGAGCCTGCCTCCTAAAAACACAGAGAACCCCTTGACAGTGGCTTCATCCTTGTTGTGCTGTGCTGTTAGCCCAGATGAGATTTAAGTCTTACAGAAACAACTGCAGCAGTGAGCAGGTACTCAGGCTAAGGGCTGATGTACCATGTAAAGGTAGCCATACGTGGCATATATCTAGAGATACATTATATAGTTTAAACACCTTTCAAAGTCCCAGCCTTAGGAGTAGGACAGGAGCTATACTGAGAGTCAGCATTGCAGTCGAGTCTACTTCCATGAGAACAGTAAGCTGTGTCATTCCTCTAACAGAGCTTATGTCGTGCACAGCTGCTTGGTTTGCTCATTAGAGTGTGAAACTAATGCTCACATTGTGTGCCAGTGTGCACAGGAGGAGTAGCTGTCAGGTTCATTTTAAGTAGCTTGTGTTCAGAAAAACAAACGAATTTTGTCCCATGTAGTGCCTCTTTTGCATTATGGTGGCTGAAGCCAGCAGCCTCTTTAGAGTGCTAGCCGTCACCTTGCTGCTGTCTGAGCCTGCTTGTGATTTGAGCTGTTCATCCCTTGAGAGAAAAAAAGCTTTTTGAAATCAGCTTCCCTGTCAGGGAACCTCTGCCTTTTTACCCTCGATTTAGCTGCAAGACTATTAATTATGTCTGCTACTCAGATGGAAGTTTTTTGCTCTCTGATGATAATGGGGTGTTTATTAGGTAAAAGTAGCAGTGTGTTCATACACAGCTGTTGAAGGGGTAGGAGGCTGTGATAACATGCAACAAACTTCTGTAGTATCCTGTGATATATCACTTTCTAGAGTGCCTGGAGGGGTTTTTTTTGTTTTTAAGCTTCAGCTGAGCTGTCAGTTTTTCCTCAAAAGAGTGAATTTTACTTTGGCTTTTTTTTTCTATTCAGAAGAACTTTTTCTGTGGCCTTCTGTGTTCTGTATGTGTTTAGGGGCACATTCTGTTACCTAAGGATAACAAATGAATTCCAAAATAATCAGATGATATCATCCTTGTTTTCCTTATTTGACCAATCATTTCCTAACAAGAATGTTTATTACTAAAGCTGGTTTAAAAAAAAAAAAAAATCCTTCTCACTTTTTCCAAAAGGAACTTTCTGTAAAGCAGACATGATTTAAAGTAAATGCATCTAGGTTACTAAAAGTCACCAGCACTAACTAGAGATTTAAAGAAACTGAGTTTCATTTAAATTATGATCAGACTTCAGATTACCTGTAAATTAGGTAAATTTGGTTGTATAAACTACTGGCTGTGTGTGTTTAGATATACTTTGCAAAAAGTTTATTTTAAATTAATTTGAGAATATATTTTGAATTTCAGAATCTTCATATGTAAAGGATCACTTTTTAAAATTATTTGTAAAATAGTGGAGAAGGCCTTAAAGCTCTTATAATAATGAAAATACAATAAATAGCTTTCTCTTACAAAGTGTTTGCTTGAAATGTTTTACTGAAAAATATTTGATTTGCATGTTTTAAACTTTTCTTCCTGTAAGTGGGGGGCAAGGGGGTACTATACAAGAAGCTACAAACAAGTCATGCTTATGCTAGTCTTTAGCTTTAAGAGTGAACTTTTTGAATATCCTTTTTTAAACTGAATAGCCTTGCAGCTAAGAGCTTTATCATTAGTGATACCAGAACAAAGCTTCTCTTCATGCTGTGCTGTTTATTGCCACACAGCCTGGATAATCCTTAAAACCAAAAACCAAAACTACTTACCCTGTTTCTTATCAAGTTTAATTAGCTGATACTATTTTGATAAAGGGGGGGTGTCTAGAGTATAACTATTGTGGTACTTGTTTGAGGATTGAAAAAAATTTTGGGGTTTTTTTTACCCCCCTCTCCCCCTTCAAGCCCCTGAAAGGGTAGATCAAGTAGTGTGTAGATAGGCCTGATCAGTTAAGTTTCTAGTTGCGGCACTGACACCAAAATAACAATGCAAGCCTTCCCTTAGAGAGCAGCTGGGGCCTTGCTATATTTTAGGGAATAGCCTCTTTGCAAGTTGTATGGCCAGAGCAAGAGTCTTATAACACTAGGTATAATTATTAGTTCTAGTAGCATAAAATACAGCTTGTTTGATAACAATGCTTTCCAGACCTTTCTTGTGCTTCCAAGTCCTGTATGGTAGCTGTTATGCAGGAATAACTGCATTAAAAAAATATGAAGGAAGAATTGAGCCCAGGTTTGACATGCTTGCAGAGAACCCACTAGCTAAGTGACTGGGGTGGTGGTACTTCTCTCACTCTCCTGTGTTTCAGTTAGATTTGGTCACTCTCAAATCTAAATGTGAATCTACTTCAGCAACACCCACACTTTGAGGGAAAAGTCCCTTTCTTCCATTCTTCTTCCACTGACTGACTTCTCAACACAGAGGTAGGTGAAGCATACTGTTATTTTGTGATCACAGAGTCTCAGACTGTACTGTAGTCTGACATAAGTGCCTAGAGGCAGGCAGATGAACTGATACAAGTACACTAGTGACTCTTGCAATACTAGTGACAGTATGTAACAAGTCTTTATTTAAGGAGTCGAGTGCTCACATGTAAGACAAAGGATTAATAGAGACAAAAAATAACATACACATCATTTTAGGACACTTAAGAGAAATGCATTCACCTCACTCAGTTTCAGATTACACCACAGTTGTGATACCCCTAGCAGCCCAAAAAGTTAGGAAGCAGGTATCTCTGGGATTTGTTATTGCACTGTTCAGTAAGCTAAAACCACAACTGCCTCTTACTATTGGAAGAATGAACCAATAATTAAGACAGACCACATCTTAAGGGCCTTAGACAGCTTAATATTTAGCTTTATACTTTATCAACATACCTGGCCCACATGTCAATCAATTTCAAGTATATTAAGAATTTCACAACCTCCAGCTAAAAAGTCAAACAATTTTACATTGCTATTTGGAGTTTAAAATGACAACCAGCTCAAAGATTTATGTTTGCTTTCAACCACCCTTGGATTCCAAGGCCTGCTCTTTCCGTTGTAAGCATTACAGTAGTCACATTACAAGACTTCCTCCTTGTTGATTCAGTGAGGTTACCCCTGTTAAGACTATGTTCTGGATGTGGCAACAACATCACTCTTTCTGCTGTTAGGCATCTTTGTAGAGTTTGCTGTAAGCCAGGGATGAACAAGTACATCCTTCAGGGGCAGTCGATGGAATGGGTTATGCTTTAGAAGCTTTGAAATTAAATCTCTTGCACCTTCTGTTACAAATGGAGGAAATTTGAATTCCACCTAAGAAAAGGAAACAACACTGAAGATACAGAATTTCTTTGGTAATGACTAAACTAGAGAACTGAACAGCCATACCATCCCAAGTACAGCTAGGAAGAAAAAGTTATGTCAGTCTTGCAGGTTATGCACCTTAAACCTATTGAGATAAGGTAACTTTGGCATTATCCTAAGGAGGCTTAACTTCCACAAGCACCAGAAAGCTTGCTAGTATATTTTTTTTGTGTACTTTTTAAAAAGACTAGTTTGCTGGAGCCTTTCTACGATATAGAACAGAAAAGTTAAGCTTACATTTTTTAGTAACAGCCTGGGTGTTAAATACTCATTTTATAAACAAG